ATGATGGGTAAAAACTGAAGAAAGCGAGACCAAAGTGTAACCAAGGTGGCATTATTTATTTTGACACTTGGGTGCAAGTGGGATGAGATCTAAAGGCTGTTAGGGGGAAGGTTAAGGAGGAAGGCCAGCCAGTCTGATACAGTGGCCAAGGGGAAGCTGGTTTCTATCAAGGACCATCAAACTGTTGATCTCAGCAGGATGTCAAAGATGTTATCTCACTGTAGGGACTCTCCTGGCAGGTTCTTATTGGAGTGTCAGCATATTTCTCTCAGGTGGGTCTGTAATTGGGCCAGTACAAGGGCAAGCCTGCAACATGTCTCTCTCTTGTCTGAGTTATGTCCACCTGTAACAGTATTACAGAATGGCTTTCCAAGATGTAGTTAGTTTGGCCAACCTCACAGGCACCATCAATCAAGTCTATTTTCTTAGTGTCTGACTTTGGTTGGAAAACTAGAAATAAGATGTTAAGCCTTCTCCTCTATCCACAGTGGTGTTTGACAATGTTTAATTTCCAACTGCCAAACTTTTCCAGAGTGGATGTACCTGCAGAGAGAATGGGGACCAAAGACCCCATTCTTGGTGAGGGAAAACACCTCCAGAAAAGGGGAAAAACAGAGAAGTAGACTAAGAAAGGTGAAATAAAAATAGATCAGCTAGCTCTCTTTTAAACTAACAATGGAAGTACTTGTCTGGACAGTTTCTGCTTTTACTGGAAGCCTGGCCTGTGAGGAATATAGATTACAAACACCTCTGCTGGGTCTGTAAGCACTCTGAAGAATGATGGCTATAGCAGAAGCTGTGTGTAAGGCCTGGGAAGGAACTTTTTTTTTTTTTTTTTGGAGACAGAGCTTCAAGCTGTCGCCCTGGGTAGAGTGCTGTGGCATCACAGCTCACAGCAACCTCCAACTCCTAGGCTTAAGCGATTCTCTTGCCTCACTCTCTTGAGTAGCTGGGACTACAGGTACCTATCACAATGCCCAGCTAGTTTTTCCTCTGTTGGTAGAGACGAGGTTGATCTTGCTCTTGCTCAGGCTGGTCTGAGCTCAGGAGATCTACCCACTTCAATCTCCCAGAGTGCTTGAGCACTGCACCCCACCCACTTCTTTGGTTTCTTTTATCAGCATTTTGTAGTTTTCAGCACACAGATCCTGCCCATATTTTATTGACTTATGCCTAAGCGTTTAAATGGTAGTTTAAAAGTCTTCATTTTTACCTGTTTATTCTTAGTCTATAAAAACACATTTGACTTTTGTGCTTTGTTCTTATATCTTGCAACCTTCTAAATTCATAGATTAGACTTTTGGATTTTCTACACAGATACTCATGTTATCTGTAAATAGGAATAGTATAATGCTTCATTTCTGATTTGTGTGCCTTTTGTTTCTTTTTCCTATTATGTTGCTCTGCCTAAGTCATCCATTATGATGTTGAATAGTGTAGAGACCAGATTTGGAGGGCTTGGGTTTGGCTTTTGGCCTTGTAAGTAAAATAGCTATTCATTTTCAAATTTAATTTTAGCTATTCATTTTCAATTTAATTTTCTCTCACCTTAATTATAAAATGTAACATATCTTTCTTTTTTGTCAAGTGTTTAATTTTGAAACTTTACTGTGTATTCACAGGCTCCACTTCCCTCTGTTGAAGGAATTGTCATGCTACTCAAGCCCCAAGAAGAAGGCGGCTGTGGCAGTGTTCTGGGGGAGGCAGTCCCTTCTGGGGATCAGTGTATTTATATACGAATAGAGCACTCTTCTATCAGGGGCCAAGAAGAAGAAGCACATAATCAATTTACTAGGTAAGGAATCTTCACTCATCTTAAATCCTACTGATGTGCCTGCTTTATCCCAATGTGAAGTTTCCAATTTTAATTTTCTTTTCCAAGATAATGTCTTTGTCACCCTTGGTAGGGTGCCCTGGTGTCATAGCTCACAGCAAACTCAAACTCTTGGGCTCAAATGATTCTCTTACTTCAACCTCCCAAGTAGCTAGGACTACAGGCTCCCACCACAGTGCCCGGCTATTTTTGGAGGTGGGGTCTTGCTCTAGCTCAGGCTGGTCTCGAACTCATGAGCTCAGGCAATCCTCCCACCTCGGCCTCCCAGAGTGCTAGGATTACAGGCGTGAGCCACCACACCTGGCCTCAATTTTAATTTTTTAAACTTTCAGAAGTTTTATATGGACACATGAAAATAAAATGAATCTCAGTGATAGAAGTTCCTGCAAACACTGGCCCTCTCTCCCCAGAGAGCAGATGGGATGGAGTTGCCATCCTCCTCTAGGAGCCTGCTTAGACCTGATAACATTTCAAATACAAACAACTGCCTCTTTTAAAGAGAACCATAACTACTCAGAGCATGAATTAGCCTTCAGCTTACCAACTTTATACTTCAAAAGGAAAACAGTAGAACCTCTGTCAGTTGACCATCCACAGGACTGTAACAAACTGGATCAACATACAAAGATGGTCAACATAAAGAACTAGGCCTTCTGTGCTGAAATGTGTAAATGGTGTATGTCTGGGCTGTGAAAAGTAGGTCATTTTAAGGAGGTGATCAACTATGGAGGGTCTACTATATATGTTATTCAATCACTGTGGATAAATCGACTGATACCACTGACTCTAGGTTTTATAATTCATTGGAGTCATAGCAGGATTTTCTTTGCTACAAAGAATTACTCATTTAGGGGACTCTTCCAAACAGAACATGGGGAACAGATATTTTCAACAATTCTTAAGATAAATGTCTTGAAGTTAGACTGAATTTGGTAAATTTAGTGAGTATCTGCATAGACAGTGCACCTTCCATGACAGGAAAACATTAAGGGTTTATTGTATAGATAAAACAAGTATAAACAGATCCAAATGCTTTCGTTTCATTGTATCTTACGAAATCTTTGTCCTAAGCTGCTATTTTAAATGACACCTTGCAGCAGGTTATAAGTATTGTTACTGTATTAGTACAAGTGCAACACAGCATTGTCAGTTTGTAACATGCTAGAGTTAGATGATGAGGGAGTCAGTGTGGATGTGCCCTATCATTCTAAAGTGTGGTGGCTGTCACAGGGACAGGTGTTAGCCAAAACTTTATCTCTGTGAGACCATATAGTTAAATTTTATGAAGAACAGAATCAGCAACATGATTTCTTTTTTAGACAGAGTCTCTGTCCCCTAGGTATAGTGCTGTGGTGTCACAGCTCACAGCAACTTCAAACTCTTTGGGTTCAAGAGATCCTCCTGGCTGGGCTCTGTGGCTCACGCCTATAATCCCAGCACTCTGGGAGGCTGAGGTGGGTGGATCACCTGAGCTCACAAGTTAGAGAGCAACTTGAGCAAGACCCTATCTCTAAAAATAGCTGGGCACTGTGGCTAGTGCCTGTAGTCTCAGCTACTCAGGAGGCTGAGGAGGCTTGAGCCCAAGAATCTGAGGTTGCTGTGAGCTGTAATGCCATGAGATTTTACTGAGGGTAACAAAATGAGACTCTGTCTCATAAAAAAATTAATAAAATAAAAATCCTCCTGAGTAGCTGAGACAATAGCTGCACATCACCTCGCCTGCCTAGTTTTCTCATTTTTAGTGGAGATGTGATCTCACTTTTGCTCAGACTGGTCTTGAACTCCTGAGCTAAGGGATCCTTCTACTTTGGCCTCCCAGAGCACTAGGATTACAGATATAAGCCACCTTACTCTGCAGCAATGTGATTTACCGAAAAGATTTCTTTTGGAACACAGTATTTCTGTGTGATATCATGTCAGATCAAAACAACTTGAGTATTTCTTTGTAAGGTAAACCTAAGTCTTTATAAGATATGTGGCAAAAAGCATTCCAACCATTTCAAAAAAAGCTATCTTTTTTCAAAATACTACTTCAAAAGGAAATTTTAGATGAACATTTTCCCTAGTTAGCAAAGGTCACTGATGAGCAGTATGATATATGCAAATCATTTGAAAAATATGCAGCTGTTTTAGACCTATTAATTGGAGAATACAATGAAAGTTTCACTGACTTGAGAATCATGACATCACACTCAAATTAGCATTTCAGCCTCACCTAGCTAGTATCACCAAGGCACCTAAGAACCACAGATGGAATTGATTGAGCTCTTAGTAGATGGCATTTTAAAGTGAGATGCTAAGAAAGATCCAGTTGAAATATGGAAAAATACAATAGAATACCCATGCCTTTGGCAACATACCTGAAAAATGCTTTCTTGCTTTTTAATCAATTATTGTTGAAAGTCTACATTTTTCTAAATCAAGATGCCCTAGAGGATCAACTGAAACTGCAGACCTCCCTGCTGCAACCAAATATTCAAATGCTTTTCACCAAAAAGCAGACACAATAAAGTCACTAAAAGATTAGTTAACTTTTTTTTTTTTGAGACAGAGCTCACTTTATTGCCCTTATTAGAGAGCCATCATAGTTCACAGCAACCTCAAACTCTTGGGCTTAACCAATCCTCTTGCCTCAGCCTCCCTACAGGCGCCTGCCACAATGCCTGGCTATTTTTAGAAAGCAGGCTGGTCTTGTTCAGGCTGGTCTTGAACTCCTAAGCTCAGGCAGTCCATCCACCCTGGCCTCCCAGAGTGCTAGGATTATAGGCATGAGCCACCATGTCTGGCCAGGTTAGTTAATTTTAAAATTAACAAATAGTTCTCATGTTTTGAAATTATTAAGTACATAGTAGTTAGTATTTTACAAAATAATGTACGTTTTAAGTATATCTAATAGAAGTTCTAGAATGAGACCTGATTCGTTTACAGCAAAATTAATGTGGGTTCCAGCATGAAAAGCTTCCCCAGCCCTGATCTATCTGATAACTATTAGTAGAGTAGTAATAATATTTTTCCAAGGTTGAAAGTTCTAAATTAATGTCTAAATCAGTGCATTTCTTTTTATCTTCTAGGAATGTGCTATTTCAAATGCTGAAATGTAAATGCCCTGTTATTTGTTTTAATGCTAAGGATTTTGTGAGAACAGTGCTGCAGTTTTTTGGTAGTGATGGTAGCTGGAAGCACGGTAAGTCATAGTTTTTACTGTCTCTAAACTTTACCTCGTGAGCTCCTCCTGGCAATGGGAGGCTGCTGTGTGTACCAGTCCTGGGTCGCCTGGCACCCAGACTCTGAACATGCCACTGCACAGGCCTTGAGCATGATGAGGCACTTTCCCTCTGTGCTTCCAACTTATTTGGGTTTCTATTCACTTTTATAATTTAAAATAGGAAAGAATTAACTTATGGTCAGAATGGGACCAGTTGTTGTTATTCCTACAAATAACTTATAAACTTTCTAAGAATTAAACTATAATCCAGAGTAATTAACATCAAAACAATATAGGACACATTTTTACCTTTCATTTAAAATAGTAAAGAGTTTTATAGTGCCTTTTACTAGATGGACAGATGTGTGGTAAAACAAACAGGGTAACATACTCATTGTCCCGCCTCGGCCTCCCAGATTGCTAGGATTACAGGCGTGATCCACTGTGTCCCGCCAAGAAAAACCCTTTAATTGTAGAAAAATTTCTAACACATACAAAAGTACCCTTCACCCAATTTCAGCAATTATCAACCTTCAGCCAGTCTGCTCTGTAACTCCCTATGCTTCTAAATCCCTGCCCCTTGGATACTTTGTAGCAAATCATAATCATATATTAATCTCTAAATATTTCAGTTCTATGACTAAAATACGGGATTCTATTATTGAGACAATACCATCATCTTCCTCCCAAAATCATCAGTAATCTTTTTTTTTCTTTTTTTAAATTGATACATCATAGATACACATATCTGGGGGGGTACATGTGATTTTTGGTACAATCATATAATGTGTAATAACCAAATCAGGACAATTAGGATAGCCATCACCCTAAACATTTATGTTTTCTTTATGCTGTGAACATTCAACTTATTCTCTACTAGCTATTTTGAAATATATTGTAGATATGCTATAAATCTCTAGGAATAATTTTTTCTGTTTAACTATATTTTTGTACCTATTAGTCAACCTCTCTTAGACTCTCCCTTCCTCCTGTCCTTTGTGGCCTGTAGTAAGCAGCAATCTACTCTATCTTCACAAGATTCATTTTTTAGCTCCCATGCAGGAGTAAAAACTTGCAATACTCTTTCCGGGCTTGGCTTATTTTGCTTAACACCATAACTTCCTGTTTCATTCATATTGCTGCACATGACAGGATCTAATTGCTAGTATTTTCATGGCTAAATAAATATTCCATTGTGTACATACATCACATTTTCTTTGTCCACTTATCCATTGATGGACACTTAGGCTGATGCCATATTTTGGCTACTGTGAGTGGTGCTGCAATAACGTAAGAATACAGACCTCTGTATCCTTTGATGTATTAGTCTCCTTTCTTTTGGATACTACCCAGTAATGGAAAGTATATGATACATAGATTCCATCATTTCATTGTATAATTCTTCTAAGTGTTTCTAATTCTGATTTATGTATTTTTTCATACCTATTATCATTTTCTTAACTTTTCTTAGCTTATTTAAAATCTTTCCTTGTTGGCATTTCTTTTTCAACAACTGGCGTTTTCTCTCCCAGTGTAAGGATTTGTCCTGGCAGGCTCCAGCTTGTCAGTTGCAAGAGTTTACAGGGACCAGAGCATTCTAGCACTGCCGGGCTTTACCCATGGATTTTAAAAAATATGTGTTGATAAGAACCCTTAATTTGAGAACACGAGCTTTGAAAAGGCAAGTGGAGTGAGACAATCCTGTCGGTCAGTCAGTGTCACTGTTCCACTGGCTGTCAGGGGTGGCTGCCCTGTGGCTGCAATCAGATGCCCACTTCCTCCCCTTATTCTGAGCTCCAAATCTCCCAGCGCAGGAGACTTCTGGACATAACATGAAAGAGTCATGATACCTGCTGCTTTGGTAAATATAAATCTCTTAGACTAGTACAATTTAAAGCTGCCAGATAATATTTAATGTGATATAATCTAAGATTATAGTTTTATTTAAAGGCAAATCCTGGCTTGGTACCTGTAGCTCAGCAGCTAGAGCACTGGCCACATGCAGCAGAGCTGGTGGGTTCAAATCCAGCCCAGGCCTGCCAAACAACAATAACAACTACAACAACAACAACAAAATAGCCCAGTGTTGTGGTGGGTCCCTATAGTCCCAGCTCCTTGGGAGGCTGAGGCAAGAGAATCACTTGAGCCCAAGAGTTTGAGTTTGCTGTGAGCTATAACACTATGGCACTCTACTGAGGGTGACATAGTAAGACTCTGTCTCAAAAATAAAATAAAATAAAATATAAAGGCAAATCCTTATTTTTGTATGGCACAATTCAAAATTAACTTAAAAAGCAATCACTTTAGGATTTAGCTTGTCTAAAGTATTCTGTACTAAAATATTTTCTAAAATGTTTTTAGAAAGCACTTTCACATGTGTTTCACAGGTATTTACAGTAATCTTTTCCCCCAGATTTCAGTTCAGGAAACTAATAGTGAAGGGACAAGTTGGCTTCACAGCCTCTTGGTGGGCTCTAAACCCAGGCCCACTGTTCTTTCCTCACTGCAGAGTGGGTGCCAAAGCATCTTTACTGTGCACACGCTGCCCGCCAAGCAGTGAAAGACTGGTACCCACGCAGTGATGAGGACACTGCATGTGCTTAGAAGCCTGGAACCTTCCTCCTTTTACCCAGGAGTCTTGGCGGGAGGCTGGGGTAGGGACTCAGCAGTGAAGAAGCCCAGGGGTGGGAGGATGAGGGATGGACAGAGGAAAACGGGGCCCAGGGCACTGGCTTCCATAGCCTTTACATGTTTTTGAGCAACCCAAATTCCAAGTGAGTTTGAGACCCCATGCCTTGTGTCTATAAGGTTTGCCTCCTTCGTGTGTCGCCCACAGAGCTGGGCGTGGAACCCCATGTGGAACCAGGGTTCACTGAGGCCAGTTCACCAGGGGTTCGAAATTCTTTTTTTTTTTTTGAGACAGAGCCTCAAGCTGTCCCCCTGGG